GATTTGCGGGAGTGGGTGTGTGCCCGGGAGGGAAAATGCTGTTGGCCGCCTTCTCATTAGTTGGGAAGAAGAGAGAGGTTGTCAGTATCTCCGGTCGGTTCCCCGCGGCTGGGACAACTCTGGCATTTTTTCCTTTTTTTTGCTTTTCCCTTTTGACAACATTGAACGACACGACTGTCAGTACTAGTAGCTACTAATTACCTTTACGTATTATTCATCTGATATCTACTATGATCAACTGGGACCTGTCGGAGGTCCCAAAGAGGAAAGAAACCAGGAACCTCTATCAACTCCGGTGCCATCTGGCAATGTTTTCCCACACCCCACTTACAGGGCAGGCCAACTTCACCCATTGTTGCCTTATCCACCTACTATGTGAGGCGTCCCACCTTCCATCGACTACGAGTATATGATGTGTACTATCACGGTGGCTCAATGCCACATGATGAGTATACCATGTAGTATCTCAACCGGCCCTCGACGTCAGACCACTCTCCCCATAGAATACGAAAGCATAACGTCGTGACGTATACGGGACAAAAGTTATTGTTTCAGGAAAAACAAGCAAATACCTTATGATTCTCGGATTGTCTGACTTGGGAAGACGAATCTCCTTTCAGGGACACCGAGGACACCGAGTACATTCGATCTACACCAACTGCACTAGTACTAGTAGTCTCTTACTCCGTGCCAAGGTTCATGGCATGCAGCAAGGAGTTGTCCAGTCCGAGATAGTAGTGGGACTGAGGCAGCGCAACGCGATAAGCATAAATACCACAGCATAACGAAGTACACTTCTTCATGACTAATCTGAGATCTGTATAACTCCGGGGCCATATCCTCTAGCTACTTGTGTGCAAGCGCAAGCTCCAAATATAACCAACTACATCCCCAGCCACATTCCCAGCCCCCCGGGCCCCATCTCACCGCCTATCACTCGCCCACGTCATGTGAAAAGGCACGTGAGCCAGCTCACCTCCCCGAGGCTGTCCTCGCGGGGAGTACCTCTTCGTTCCTTCTGCATATTATCAGTCAAATTTAGCTCTCCAGCTCCTAGTTCTAGAGTTACACAAATCGTATATACTACGAGCTCTACCTAATCCTCTGCACTCGGTGTGAACAAGTCCAGTTTCATCATTAAGCCCTGATATGGTCACTATGGTACGTTTCTTGCTCCCCGATAGCTTTCTGCTTGCGTTTGACGAGCTCCCTGAGTATTCACTTTTTTTTTTTGGGGGGGGGGGGGGGGGTGGGAGAATACCTGCTAATTGTTGGTCCCTTTAGTTCGGCCGACTCACCCATTACGCTTTCGACGCTGTCCTTTGTAGGCTCTTCTCTGTTCTTTGTTATCTGTAGTCCACAGATACTAACGGTCACATAGTCTCTGCCTTTTTGGCAGGTGTGAAGCGTTCGACTGGTCTTACGTAACTACACCCTTCCTATGCATGATTTGTCTGTTCCTGTAGCCTGTCGATATGGAATGATGGCTATGGGCTACGATTATTCAACCGATTTCTGGGATCTCGGCTAACCCTGTCACCCCGCGCCCCCATCGGGGGAACTGCGTGGGGATCTTCACAGCCCCAGTCTCGACTCCGACAAAATCACCGATAACAAGGACTTTAAGAAATGGATCGATAGCTACCTTGGCGTTGGCGAGTGGGTGATGGATCAGTCCGTTGCCGTCCTAGGTTCCACCAGCTATTTCGAGCGCAGGCGGTGAATTATCTACTCCGGATTATCCGGATAAATCGGGGCGACACTTCGGGTGGAGATTGACTTAATACCGGAGGTGTGCTCTGAGTTTTCCCTATCTCAGCTTGGGAAGAGTTCGTCAAGGACCGGAGGACATACATTGTTACCCGCTTGGAACATCATGTCGAGAGTGTGCGTGTCTTGTAAAACTAAAATATCAAGAGAGCCATCGTGACTGAAATTTGGGGGTCCTGCATAGCGGTATGGGTTATGATTGACGATTACCTTGTCCTTTCTCAGGTCCGGCATGGGGGACCGTGGCGTTCGGAACTCTCACCTTGACTGTATATCTTGGTTTCAGTTTGGCATTATATGCGCTTTACATGGATCCCCACTCTACTCTCCCGAGTATACTTGCTTGTACATAACATTGCCGGCCCCGGTGCTTCATGTTGTCATGTATCCTTGCGCTATCCGGGGAATGATATATTTTCTTTCCTTCCATTCTGGTATGTGTACGTTTAGTCTACAGGCTCGGGCAGCTTTCGTACGGCTGGTGCGAGTCTAGCGGGCGATACTGAGTAACAATATAATGTCGCAGGGGGTGGATTGGATGCGCCAGGAATCCTTGGATTCCTAGTTCCAACCACGCTTCAAATTTACCATCCCTGGTTGGTCTCCGGTGCACGGGCTCCAGTATGATTCGGGAGCCGCCTTAATCAACCGGATGTTCACTCAAGTCATCAGAGCTGGCCTAATACGTGCCCATCGAGGGGTGTTTGACACACCACCCATGGTTATGTCATCTAGACAGTGTGTACACAACTGCCATAAATATATTTGAAGCATTATCTCTCATGGAGGGGAGCAAGTAGTAGGCACGAATCGTTACGTCGTAAGAATAATCACACATCCGCTCATATCCGAATAAGTTCGTCTATGTCGAGGCGGCGGAAATACGAGATATGTCCCATGGTCTCCCAATAGTGAGCTATACAATCAGGCGAGATGAGAATAAGTTGCGAGGCGATGAATGTATCTAAGTATCGAGTCAGAAACGCCATAACAGGGCAGGCGATTCGGTTCAGCTTACCGTCTCTAAACCCGAGACCTGCTACATGTCCTCGGCTACGCACAATCCTCGCTCCTCGAAAAAGCGATTCATCCGCAACACGGACAAAACCCTTAGGTCCAATATCATCCGATATAAATGAGAGCTCACCTCGAGGGACATTGGGGTCTCCGGTTAGTTTGATAGCCTCAAGGCTACCTTTCTGGATGATGTCATCATGAAGGAACTCAGACTCGCCTTCCTCGGGCGTATCGTCAGGTCCATCTTCGCTGTCACGTTGTAAGAAAAGCATAAATTCACACCCGTGAGCAGAGTAGTCTCCAACCCATATACCCTGATAGGGCTTTTGTCTGGTAGGCGTATATAGATGCGGATCAAGTGTCGCGTAGGTCGATAAGGTCTCACTTCGGCCGGCAGCAAACATCGGCATACCCAGACGAAAATGCGCCCATCTTCTAATCCGAAATGCATTTTCCGACATTAATTCCAGGATTCCAGGATTACGCTCCCACTCTGAGCCGTGCGTTTCGGGGCTCCGATATACGCGATTTTGACTCGGTACAATGGGTGGCGGCCATTGCTTATATGGGTCGGAATCCGGAGGAGGTCCCTTGGGGCAAAAAGACAAAGAATTAAAGACCTGCTGTGATTCCAACGGCAAGGGCATGCGGATCTCTCTGCGCAGATACTGCCGTTCACCATCATGGTTCCTCAAGAGTAAAATAGGACTGTCTAGCCAGAGGCTAGGTTTCGGATGGAAGGTTTGAATGATAACGTCTGGATTCCATTCCCAGATCTGGAACTTGTGCGAAGGCGAACGACGTTCTGCAATAACCCGATACGCTTCGATAACGCCTCGACGGTGATCGTAACGGGCCAGGATTAGATTGCCCGTGTGCTCAGTATCTGAAAACCAAATCTTTTTCTGGGGGATGAACCAGCAAGGATGGTACGCAATATAGAGGTTGCGAAAGGAGTCAAATGGACCCGGATCGTGAACTTTCTCTGGTAGGTAGGAGTTCACCACGTTAGCCCACAGCAGATCGTTAGCCGTGTGCTCGGCCAAGCAGCGACAGGTCGCTGACAGACGAACGAGGTCTTGTGCCGAAAGATAAGATAGAACAGAATGTAAAAGTTCGGTCGGGAGCTGTAACAAGGGCGATTCAACGTTCTGGGTAATATCGGTGCTCTTCCACATGCCAGCAAAGACTTCATCGTCGTCGATCTCTTGTACTGTGGACGTATGGCACATCTTCTCCATGGCCAGGCTAGTACTGGATTTCAAATCCATGAGGGAGGAACAGCCATGGGGAGGGCTCTCGGATGGAGAAACAAGAACGTTTGTAACGGGCAAAGTCAAGCACTAGGTACGAATCGGGCCGATCCAAAGTTGCTGATCATGAAAAACAAGTCGGCTATCAAGGGGGAAAGTTGACAGGAGGAATGGAGTAGAGGGAGAGAGTATGAAAGCTAAGGCAAAGGATCGACATAAATCCCGTTGCTTTGCTGGTCGGTTTGGATGACATCACTGGGGAACAGCATGACATGAGGGGAAATAAAATACGTACGTTGGAAATACAGACATTACTGTATGTATGTACTCCAGTACACTGGTACTCGTGAGAGCTTTATCTTATCTCCCGCCTGGAACATTGAAATCTACATGTATGTCTGTATGTACATACTGGATTCACTGTACAAGGGAACAATGCAGTACGAGAAGATTGCTTCCGCTTTCCTCCACATAGTACTGATAAAGTGCTATAGGAATAACAGTATTCACGAGTTCAATAAACAACCGGCGTAATCATATCAATTAGAATACTATCTGACAGGAATGTCAACCTCAGGCAGGATTCGGTCACCTGATGCCAGGATTGTTTACGTCTTCCAATTGGGAATGAGAATGGATCCATCAACGCGTATGGATGTGCGGAAGGCACAAATGTGTTCCTTCCTTACTTGGGGCTCGCAGTAGTTAGAAGTATCAATTGTTTGTTATTAATGCGCATCTCCAGGGGCACCGGCACCGGCGTCATCCGAATACACAATCTCTCTCATTAAGATCCTCTTGCTAACCAAGTATTTATATAATTGTTCCCAATTCCCAGACACACACACACACACACACAAGAATCTAGCTCAAACAAGATACCACTATGAACACCAGACAAACGCGGAAAAAAAGAAGTATCAGTGCGATCTCTAATTCAGAGCCCTGCACTTCCACCTCATGCAGGAACCCTCGTGTGTCTGGGGGGACTGCTCTGGTCCCATCTTGCGAAACCCCACGCCAACCCACAAAAAGAGTTCGTTTCTCAGATCCGGGTCCGCCGCTGGAAGGGCACTGCCCTGGATGCTCTACAGGCCTCACTCCGGCACTGATTCGCACATCGTTCGAAGAACCCGATGATCCCACAGATGACATCGATTACACCCCAAGTCGCCGGTTGCGACGCCGCTCAACCCCACTTCCGCGGTCTCGTCGTTCGCTGGATCCTGTGTTGCCCATTGACGGATCCAAGTCAAAGACAGTGGTGCAGTTTACGCCTTTACGGCAAATCTTGGACTCCCGGACTCAGCGGAGAATCCGGCGACTGGGCCTGAGTACTGAGATTAACCAACTTGAACGAGAGAAGCGGGAGTCCGCGCATTACCAGAAGTCTCTGCGAGCTCTGCTGCAAGAAAGAGATACATTGAAGCAAGAGCTGGAGTTAGCAAAAGGCAACAGCGGCACTCCAGAACACCATTCACCCAGTAAGGAAATTCTCCGGTTATCGCCTCGGTCTACGCTGGAGCACCTAGAGTCCCAGAACAGTCAGCTGAGGCAAGATACCTCGTTCTCCGCTGTTGAAAACGCGGATGATCAATCGGATGGCGCTGATACTGAAGGCGACACAATCATCATTGACAGTGTGTTTGAGGGAGACACAGTTCTCATGTCCGATTCTCCAATTATGCGTGGCTTACAGCCTCCTCGACAATCTCCAGATGATTTCTCTCATCTGAGCCTCCCGGACCCCAGCACAGATGCATCGGTTCAAACGTCTCTGCCTGGTCATGACCAAAGCGCTGAGCTCCTTGCTTTGTCGCTTGACTTGGAGGCTGCTAGAAAAGAGAAAAGGGATCTGTTCAACGCATGGCGTACGAGGCTTGCTTCCTTCCCAGAAACTGTGACTGAACCTTGCCTCCAGCGGTCGTCTCCCCCGCCAGACTTCTTCGATCAAATTTTGCCTACACTAACAGGAGCTCTCACCAGTGCCTCAGACGCTGTCGGCGCATTGGACGCCGTCAAACAGGAGCTTTCTGGTCTAGGGTTCCCCGGCAACAGCATGGACGAGATTATTTCGGAAATGCGTAGTCGGTTCCGATCAGCACGCTTACAGCTGGAGCGCGCAGTCCCTGGGGAGACGCCCAGCTCCAGCTTAGATGATGGAAATACAACCCTCAGCGCTCTCGTGAGGCGTGTCGAGCTGCTCGTTAAAAGTTTGAGTGAAGAGCGCACCCGGCATAAAGGATCTCTTGGGCGGGAGCGGGCATTGCGCGGTCAATTCGATAACCTGTTGATCCGCTATGAGACCGCGTCAAATAAAATAAGAGACCTTGAAGAATCTATTGCATCTTCCGCAGGAGATATGCTCCACACGAGAATGCGGATGCAGGAGATTGAGCGTGAAGGGAAAGAGCAAGCCCTAGGGATTGAGAGATTGAACGAAGCTCTTAGCAAATACCGTGTAGAGGTCAAGAGTCTTGAGAAACTCGTGACGGAACTCGAACAGGACAAGGCCGTCTCTACCACAAGACACGAGGAACAGAAGTTGCGACAGGAAAAGAGAGTAGCAGAAGAAGAAACCGCCCGTCGCGTAGCCGAGTCGGCTATTGTAGAGCGGGAGGCACGTATTCAGGAGTTGCAAGGGGACGTTGAGTCGAATAAGATCCACGTGTGTGATTTGGCTGCTAAGATTGAAGCACTAGAAAAGGAGCTCAAGCAGTCGGCTGACAACTCCGAACAGCAAGCAGTCGAACAACTCCAGCATCACCAGCAGGAGGTCGGGCAGATGAACGTCCACGTCGCGGAGCTGACCACATACCTGGACGCTACCAAATCTGAAGCGGACAAGCTTCGCCGAAGCAACGCTGGCTTGGAGGAACAGCTGCGCCTTGAAGTGGAGGCCAGGGACGATTTGCTAGAGAAATGGGCTGCAGACCAGACACGGTCATTTGCTTACATGAAGGAAACTGTCAAAGCAGAGCGACGCAAGGCAAAAGTACGCACTGTCAATTGGGAACTCAAGTCGGACGAGCTACAATCGGATGGCACAAACATCGGGAGCGAGCCCATTACTCCTGTGAGTGTAGCGCGATTCGTCGACGTCGAGGTCGGTCGAGGCAAGGAGCGACGACGGCTTGACAGTGGTATCGGGATACTGACAGAAGACGAGCTATTTGAGAGCGTAGGTATCGACAATGATACCCTACCTTCTGATCCGGCCGATCTCTAGCTGTTGTTCTATTTTGTGTAAAATGTTTCATTGCTCTCAACTGTTCGGATTTGTAGCATATCTACCATGTGGCGTTATTAATGTCTGGGATTTACTTTGTATGGTAAATGCTCGCAATGACTGTTTGAACAAACTTGAATCACAATTGGTTGCTAACTGTAAAGCCATTGTCATGGCAATCGACGAGAAGCACGAGATAAACGGGGTTGGTTGTCCGAATTCATGCGTGATGGGCTCGACTTTGTGGCTTTCGTCCTTGGTAGCACGGTGTTTCCAATGGCTAACAACGATTGCATCAGCTTCTCGATATTACATACAGACAACATTGTCTTGGTCAACACGCTCCGATGTTTGCATAAATTGCGCAAGCTGCGTGGTTCATGTATGTCTCAAGGATGCGCGCCTTGCTGTTTACTACTAGTTTGCCTGCATCTGTCAAGGTCAACCTCGGACGAGGACCGCATGAAACGCGGGATTTGCCTATGGCATCGCAGTCGAAGTGTCCTGGATCGGTTGTCGGAGTGACTGGCCTCTGTTGCCTGAGAAATCAATCCTGTACTGTAGTGGGGATACCTACATACTGTACATAGGTACGGAGTATGTGCATGTATGTATGTTAGTAGTAGTAGTAGTCGGTTGCTGATCCTAAGATTAGGGCTTCGAAGATAAACAAGGCTCGGCAACGGCTATCGGAGCAATGACGTCGATGGGCATCAATCGTTTGATGAACTTTCCATATGCATTTGTTCAGTTCTCTCCATCCTGTTGCGATTTAATTTGAAACTATTGTGTAATCTACTGCGGTGGATATATTCACACAAGTATTTTCCCAACTCACTGACACCAAAGGATTGAACTACTAATTATACAACTCCAGACTCAGTCACATAAACCAACTACAGAACCACAATAGAGTCAACAGAATGGCAGAAAACGAGACCCCTAAATACCGTCTAAAAGCGACAGCCGGACCCAGCTACGATCCCTCTACACATCAACTCGTCCCAGTCAATGAAGACCAAACCCTACGGATCGAAAATGAGCACGCAATCACGAGTCTCTGCGTCCGCATCCAAGATTACACAGGTAAAAGTGGTCCCCTGTCCACCAATCGACAGTCTACAGCTGCGGAAAGAGAAGAAGAAGAAGAAGAAGAAGAAGAAGAAGAAGAAGAAGAAGAAGAAGAAGAAGAAGAAGAAGAAACAAAGACTGATTTAAAACACTGTAAAAGGGTATCCGGACCGCTCCCCAAGAACAAGCCCTTATTTCAACCACCCCCTCCACCAATCAGACCAATATTCCATCTCCTTCGCCATCGTATTCAAACGCCCCGTCAACGCCAACTCCCTCCTCTTCGGCAACGACTTCGACCGTCCCATTCGCGACCGCTTGCCGCCCGGCTTCAACGCAGCTCTTCGCCTCGTCAAATGGACGATCGATCCGACCCTAGACGGCGATGCGTACGCCGACAAACCGTACCTGTATAGCCCGGCTGTGGCTTCATGGAACCAGTTCTGTATCGGGGAAAAGGTTAGAAAGGACGACGAGGTGCCGGGGATGCATGAGCGGGTCGTTGAAGAAGGGGGCGAGGGGTCCGGACTGGAGGTCAGAGACCAAATGGGAGTTCCGACGAGTGTGAACGAACGGAGAAAGTATTTTCAGTCGGAAGAGGCTAGGACGGGGTTCAAGTTTGAAGAAGGGAGGGTTTACTGGGTGGATTTTGGGAACCCTTACTTGGGGTTTAATGGTTCGTTTCCCTTTTTTTGTTTGCTAAAAGATATTCTGTTCTTGCTTTTCTGCGCAGGGTCGAAGTGGCTGATTTGGTTGTGATAGATTTCTCACTTCACCTTCCTGGCATTACTATCAACGTTCTTCCTTACATTAATGAGGATAATCATTCGCTGCGGTATGTGTTGAAGAATCGGGATACCGATGAGGTTTACCTTGTCGTGCTCTTTACGCTTGTTTTGCAGGGAACGGATGAGGAACCGTGGCATAAGGAGGAGGCTGAGAGAATGAGAAGGGAGAGTAAGGAGCACCATGAGAAGAATGACGGGAAATTGGGGAGGTTTGAATGGGAGCCTGAGCCATCGGTGGATGATGTGGAGTAAGCATGTCAACATAGACATATAGAGATGTATATTATGTTTGGTTGAGTCACGGAATACCGAAGCAATACATTTTGTTTTTATCTATGCCGCATACATATACACATGCCCTTGGTCCAGAAATACATCATCAAAGAACGTCCATCTACAGCCTCTTCAGCACATCATCAAGGACCTCCTGGGTCGTGGCCTTTCCACCCATGTCAGGGGACAGGTACTTGCCCTCGTCCAGGTTGGCATCAACGGCAGTGTAGATCTTGGCGGCAGCACTCTCCTCGCCCAAGAACTCCAGCATGAGGGCTACACTACGCAGGGTGGCGATAGGGTTGGCAATTCCCTGGCCCTCAATGTCGGGCGCACTGCCGTGGCAGGGCTCGCCAATGGCAAAGCCGTCACCAACGTTGGCACTGGGGACAAGACCCAAGCTGCCGACCAGGGCAGCCGCACCGTCGGACAAGATATCACCATAGAGATTAGGGGCAACAATGACGTCGTAGTACTCAGGCTGGCGGAAAAGCTTGTACACCATCGAGTCGACAATCTGCTCCTCCACCTCCACGGAGGAGAAGCGCTCGGCGGCAAGAGCCTTGCGGGCAGTCTCACGGAAGAGGCCGTCGGTTTGCGACAGCACGTTTGACTTGTGGGTGATGGTCACCATGGGCTTCGTGCGCAGGCCCGCAGAGGGAGCCGCGTCACGGATCTTCTGCCGGCGCAGGGCGATCTCTCCTGCAATGGTGGAGATCCGGGATGAGGCATTCTCGGAGATCCGCTTGATAGCCTCGGCAACCCTACCGTTGGGGGTGTCCCTAGTCTGCTCCTCCTTCACGTACAGATCTTCGGTATTCTCGCGGACGATGACCAGGTCGACAGGGTTCCGGCCACCGCCGATGGTAGTCTTGACTGGCCGGACGTTGGCATAGAGGTCCAGCTTCTTACGGAGAGCGACAATAGGCGACGAGTAGCCGGCGACCTTGGTGCTCGGGGAGCTACGAGGCGAGTTATTTGGTAAGATACGAAAAACTCTGGTGAGAAGCAGCGTATTTACCTGACAGCTCCGAACAAAGCACCATCACACTCCTTCTTCAAGGTCTCGACAGTCTTGTCGGGCAGGGCAGTACCGGTCTGCTTGAAGGTATCGAAACCAGCGTCCAGGTTGATGAAGCTGAAATTGAGGTTGAGAGAAGCTGGAAGAGACTCCAATACTTTTCTACCGGCCTATATCATGGTGGTTGTTAGAACTTCCAATCACCTTTTCAGCAAAGAGCTGTCAATCTGTGAGAGTATATACCGGAATGACTTCCCGTCCGATACCGTCACCGGGGATGAGACCTAAAGGATGGCGTATTAGTTGAAGTTCGCACACATACAATGTTCTACATATGAGAAGAGGGTCAATTGACCTATGCGGAGCGTCCGAGCAGCAGCCATGGTGCAAATTTTGGGATTTTGAAGGGGGATACTGGTTTGAGAAAACGTCCGGTCAACGGAGAGCCGTAATCGGAGTGAGAAGGTCATTTGGATACGGAGTCGGGAGAAATATTAATCCGGGAGTGGTGGACAGCTTCAGCAAAAGTAAACAAGCTAATCATTTATACTAGAGGCCAGCATTGAAGGGGGAATTCAGACCAATTCATGGTCAGATGTGGATGGGCTAAAGTGATGCTTATTCCTCTTTGTCTTGCCAGATGCACTTCTGCATGGTGTAAAAAGCACTCATTTATCGATATGTACTCGGTACTCGGGGTATATTGTACATGTATGTACATACATACGGAGATATAAACGGGCATAAAATAGTGGACTCAAGTCTTGGCCATAGGATTGACTCCTGAAAGAATATGGGAGTAGAGTCCAAATACAGCGTAATAACTCATAAAACCCTAACTAGAGCATAGTTACCTAGTTAATAATAATAAT